ACAATTGAGCAAAGCATATGCAACTTCCTCATGGAGGGTGCCCTAGTTCCATTTTCAAAGCCAATAAAGACTCAAATGACTCTATCGAGAGGTATCTAAGAGTCTAACATGATCTTAGTTAACCATGATAGTACTAACCTTATTTTATTAGAAATTGATAAGTTTAGAATCTTGGCCATAGGCACAATATAGCAAAAGATAAACTCGACCTCTCAAGGGTATAATAGATCTTTTAATCGCTCGAGGTAGGACTTACAACAATAGAAAGGGAAGAAAGTTCTTAATGAGGCAACGAGAGCTTTGAGTTCAAGCCACTTGAATATGACTGGGCAAGGCAAGTCATCCCAGGTTTCAAAGCTTCTTTTAGCTCCTTTTGATTTCTTGTCAATAGAGACAAAAGTTATCGTATTAGGGTCATTCCATCTAACCAAGGGAGCTCTTTGGATGTCGCTGGGGATGTGCCTTTTGGGGATCTTGTCCTCTTGATGGAAATGGAGGATTGAGACTCACATCACTCACAATGCTAGTAAAGAACTTATAAGTTATAGGTGTCATGTAGGCCAATCAAGTGAGTAATGACATGTATGGCATTTTGAATAGTTTTTTACTTATTATTATTATTGATATATTCTAGCTTTATGTTACATGTTGTATATATTGTGATGTCTTTGGATCTGTGCAATGTGAATTGGATCATGATGAGTTTATAATAATGAGACTAATTCACTTGTAAACACATACTATAAATATTTCCGATCATAGGTTACTCGAGAGGGACATCGAGATAATCGAATAGACTGATGTATTATATATCTATCCATACGATGGAGGTGGTTGGTATCATAGTTGCTCATGTGAAGATACTAGGGATATAGTGCATGTGCTCATTGAAGAATGAGTTTACTGATTGATCTGCTCACGAGAAGTTAAATAGTTAATGATACCTTAGTGTTAGATAATGATTTTTATTTTTATTTTATTTTATATAGGTTTAATTAATTTGAGTTTTCTTGGCTATCGTTATACTTGGACTAATAAGTAATTTAATTTATCTCACATTTCTTGCTAACGATTATTGGTGTTCATATTTTCCTAATATCTTAATTTATTATCATCCTAAGGTCTTAACAGATCATGCCCCCCTCCTAGTTAATCTCAATTTAATTACTAAAAAACCCATCTTGAATTTTTAAAAATCAATATCAAGAATACCATTAGAGATATTCTAACTTGGAAAATAGAACTTGAACTCACTGTTTGACAATGACCATCACCCTTATCGCTCTTAACAATAGGCTCATCATACTTCAAATGCAATTGCACTTGAAGTGGTAAATAAAGACTCAAACTCGATGGATGAGTGAGGTTGACAAGAAAACAAAATTCTTGTTAATATTAGAAGGAAAATAAATACTATCCATATTATTCAAAATTCCTCTCAACTCATCATCTTGAATATCAATGCTATCCTTCTAGATTTTGTGCAACGGTACCACCAAATGTAGAATGATTACCCTTTTTTTTTAATATTCTAATCCTTCATCATATTAACTTATTAAGGATTTCAACATCTACAAAATCTATTTAACCCTTTCCTCTGTGGGCTTGAGAAAAGCTAAGGTCTATATGACTTTATAATTGTATTCTTATAATTTTTTTAAAAAAATCTATCCACACATTTTAGCCACATTTAGTGAATTTCACAAGTCTACTAGGATTCCTAAAAGTTGAGTGCAAATATTTTTTTATTTTTTTATGTCTAAGATCAATAGTCCTAAAAAGATTTTTAATTTTTACCGTGTAATGTTATTTACGAGTTATGACCAAAGTTCTCTCTTGGGTTAGTGCCTATTCTTGATACTTTTATTGATCAGAGTCAATCTCTCTTAGGTTGGTACATAATATTCATAATAATATTCTTATTATTAATAAGTTAGTTTACATCATGTTTAAATCTCATGATAAGAATACTTTCATTTCTATAAAAAATTGACATTGAAAAAGCATACGATCGAGTTTTCAGGGATGCTATTATCAATGTTAGGAGACGCATAAACTTCCCTAATATCTTTATTCAATTGACAAAAGCTTATATTTATTCTTCTTTTTTAATTATTATATTAATGGGTATACTTTTAAATATTTTGATGCTTTTAGGGGGATTAGATAAGGGAATCCTATATCCCCCTACCTGTTTATTATTATCTAATAATTTTTATCTTCAATTTTGGATGACTTAACCAATGACAATAAAAGTCTCTCTTTCAAGGTTAAGAGAATTAAGATATCTCATCTTATATTTGTTAATAATGTTATCATGACTATTAGGAGAAGTCAAAAGTCTCGTAGAAACCTTATCAAGGTCTCTTAAAGTTACTCTAAGTTTTTCAACTTAAATATTAATAAGTCCAAGTTTCTCATTTATTTTTCAAAGCATTGTAATTCTTTTGTTAAGCACAATACAATAATATCTGAAACTTTTTTCAATATAAAAGAAAGAAACTGGCTCATGAAATACATTGGTACTTTTATATCTCACAATAAGCTTCTTAAGAGGCTTCAAATGATCCTTGTTGATAAAGTGATTAATAGAATCCAGGGTGGATGGAAAAATCTTACAAGCTCAGTTAGAGAAACTATCCTTACCAATGCTGTGATCAACTCTATGCCATTGCACTTTTTGATAACTTGTTATATTTCGGATAAAGTTATCTATAAGACCAATCATCCCTTTAGGAAATTCTTTTGGGGTTGGAATGAATCTAAGAAGGGCTGTAATCTTATAAGCTAGCATTCTATATAACCTTCATCTAGTTAGGAGAATGATAGTTGCCAAAAGATTGTTTCCCCTCCTTCAATGAGCAGAATACTCTTTGGATTAATATGCTCAAAGCCAAATATGACCCTACACCCTCAACTTATTGGTCTTAGAAAAATATCTTGAACTCTCTCAAGGCTTTAAGATCTGATTCCCTTATCAATATTGGCAGTGGCAGATCCATGTGTAGTATTTCATTCACTTTTTAGCGAAATTTTACTAATTTTAAAGAGGCTAATAATTTCAAGATAGTGTCTGATTTGATTTCATTTAACTAATAGAATAACTCTATTTTATTGCAAAATGTTGAGAAGGTAGCTACTATACATATTCGTCTAGTCCTTAATGATGATGCTTAAAGTAAGTACATATTACTCAATAAAGAACAACAGACACTTGACAATACTAAAGTCGATTGAAAGACTATTTGAAAGATTGTAGTGGTTCAGAAGGTGAAAATATTTTTGTGAAAACTGGAATGGGATAGGCAGTCTACTTTTGTTTGGTTCTCTAGATTTTTTTTTTCTTTTTTTTAATATCGTGTGGAAGGGTATGATTCATTAGATCATTTCTTATTTGAGTATCTTTAGCTTAAGTTTGAACTTTTGTTTAAAAATAGTTTTAAATAATTTTTGAATTTTTTTTTAGACTAAAATAAATAGTAGATGGCCAGAAGGATGACTAAAAAAAATTAGTGCTTTGTTACGAAGCACTGCTCCAATATGATAAGCACTACCGCATCGGTCAATCCTATTTCGGGGCAACTCGTTAGTACTTTGATGCATCGTTATTGCTAAATGCTGCTAGCAAGTGTTTGAATTCCTTAGACAACATTATTCTTGTTGTTGCGAAAGAAAGTATTTGCACAGCAGATGCAAGCAAACGATAAGTCTGACCTAATTTAGAGGTTAGCAATGAGAAGCCTAACGTAAGCAAAATAACTATGATGTAAGATGATGGCTCTAATCGGCGAGACTATGGCTGTGATACACCGATCTAAAGGAGGTGGGGGAGGGGAGTATTGGATGTAGTAGAAATTTGTGTGCTTCCCATCTAGTTTTGATTTCTCCAAACCGATGTCTCATTTGTGAGCGTCGATGATATTTCATGTTTGGGATTCGTTATCAAGGATAGACGAGGGTTTTTGGTGGTTGTGGGCTACTGTGAAGGTACCACTTGCTGAAGATGAAGGTATGCTAGCAACCCCACGGGTTGCGGCGGTGCACTTCACGTCTGACGGGCTAATTATATTTAGTTATATTTAGTATCTTAATTTTTATATTTTAAAAAATTATATTAACATTTATATAGTTAAGAAAATGAAACATCGTTCATTTATCCTAACATCGTCGGTTTTATCGACGAAAATTAAAAAAAAAAGATAAAAAAATAATTTTAATATTTTAGTTAATGGTAGTGGACGATATCGATAGTGGTAAACGACAATATTGTTAAGAGTTGTGAATAACTGTTGTGGATGAGGAGAGCAACAATAAGAAATGAGGGTCACTCTACATTTACATTAGTGATCTTTTTATCGCTCAACAATTGTGTTTACATTGATATAGATATCGAGCAACCCTTTTTGCTTTGCATTTGCATTTGTATTGATGAAAGGGTCACTTCGATAACTTTTGTTGACGTTGACATAAATATAGAGTGACTCTTATCTTTTATCGTCGCTCTTTTCATTTACAACAACTATATGCGGCTCTTAGCAATATTATCATCCGTCACTATTAACGTTGTCCGCTATTATCAATTGAAACATTAATATCTTTATTTTTTATTTTTATATTTTTATTAGTAAAATTCATGATACTAACCTAAATGAACATAAATATTTTACTTTCGTAATTATATAAATGTGAATATAATTTTTTAAAATATAAGAATCAAAATATTAAAGATAATTAACTATTGAGATAATATGTAATTAGTTCACTTACTTGGTTATCATAACCTTATGATTATTTTTATATTCTCATGAATAAAAATATTTTTAATTTTTAATAAACGAGTTTAATGTACAAATCATCGGTGGACTTAATTATAAATTTAGTGAATGAGACGTTCAAACCATAACATTTGGTAAATAAAATTTAATTATAAAGTTTTTTACATGAGATTTTAAATTATTAAACTTTGCTAATTAGTTTTGAGGCAATTAATCGGTGGCTTTTGTTCGACAAGGAAGGCTGGTCCGACGGAAGAGAGACGTCATTCCATCCCATCGGCTATTCCCAGAGGATCCCTCTTAGTTGCCTCTTCGAGTCTGGAGCGGAGGAGCCGATGGAGAAGGTGAGGCCGCAGTTCGTTCTGTTCGGGGACTCCATCACCCAGCAGTCCTTCAGGCCCGGCGGTTGGGGCGCTGCTCTCGCCGACACCTACTCCCGAAAGGTATCCTCTCTCTCCTTGCCTCATCAACTCGTGCTTCTTTCGTTGACTACTATCAGATCCCGATCCAATTCGTAACATCTAGCAATCCATGTCGTATAGATCTCGCATTTCTATTTTGATTCTTAATTCTTATCGGTTTTTGGTAAATCCTATTTCCTATGTGCTGTAGAACTGGGGATTTTTTCCTGGTCGCTTGTCTACAACTCCTTTGGCTGATTTCTTACTGATTTTTTTTTTGAATAGATTGCATGCTTCATTTGTAGATGTGATGAATGCCAGATGCAAGATATTCAACTTCCACCCTATGCGGCATCATGAGTTAACAGTAGAGTATGGATTGACGATTTAACTACGAAGCTTAGATAATCTACGAGCTTTTTTAATTTTTTTTCTTAGTTCAAACTTATCTAACTTTACAAAATTAATATATATCTTATGACCTTTTTAAAGATAATGATGAAATGAAACTTACTTTACAAAAACCCATTTCCCAACAGCTATATTCACTTGTTTATGTAAAATATTAACACTTAGTGATATGTTATATTGTTACCTTCTAATAACAACTTCTTTCTTTGATGGAAGAAGATATCAGTCAGAAGATAGAATGAAAAGGAGATGAAGAGAAAAGAAAACATGAGTAAGATAAAAGAAATGGAAGAATATGAGAGGAACTATTGAAATATTTACTTAAGATAAGGATCAGTTCTACATCTTGTTATATTGTCACATCTCATCTACGTACGGATTGCATTGTGAGAGAAACCCTGATGCCTATCTTACCTTAATGTTTATCTTCAAACCTCAATCTTTGGCTCTCTCGGTGAGCCCCCCAGATGCAATTTTCAAGGGGAACGGAGACTTGGATGAGGGCAACCCTCTATCCTCTTTGGTGACAGTCCATGGGTAGCCAACCAAGACTTTTTAGCTAGCATGGGACTCCCACTCTGCATATAACTCCTACCAAGTGAAGAGTTGGTAATCCAATTTTGAAGTGGAGCCCAATTATATCTGATCTGGTTGATATATAGATATTCTGAGATGGTAAGGTCTGAGTGGGCTGGCTAAATCCAAAGTCTTGACACTATAGACTAGTCAAACCCTTTTAAATCTGATTAAATTTGAGTTGAACTAAACATTGATAAAGGGCACCATGTTGTTGGAGCGTGTTGATACGGCCTATGGTTTCCTCCCCATGGTTGTCCAATTTTATTGAACATTCAAGATTGCAAGGCACCCCGTACTTTCGGGAAATCTTGGCCAATTGCTTGGCACTGGACCAGCTCAAGAAGGTTTTTTTTTCCCTCCTAGTTCCTTTTTCACTGTTGTCGAGGTTGTGGGACCTCTTAACCCCCCTTCCATTTGGTGTTGAGGTTGAGAAGGGATCTAGGTCACTTGGAATTTGCATCATACCACATGAACCCTAACTAGAACCCAACATAACTTGATAAGCTGCTGTCTTTCCCCTTGGCCAATCCCTATTGGTAGGCTATAGGGTAGGTCAACTATATCTAGTAGCTTGTGGCTCCAACCAATGGCTAGAAATTCCTCTTAACTTTGCCCCTTCTAGATTTCAGGTAGGGTCTAAATTCTTCTCTTTTTTCTAACTTATGTTATCCCTTATTCAATCTGATTAGGTGATCTCTTTGAGTCAATTTGGGTGGTATTAGGGTTGATCCTAGGAGTGAGTTTAATCTGGATTGTAGTGATCCGATTCCTACTCCCATTAGGAGTTGGAACTCGTTGATTTATTAAATATTGGCTAAAGTTGTACAAAGTTCTACACAAGCCAGAATATGAGTCCATGAAAAACTCAATTCATGCTTGCATTATTATGGTGGTGCTTAGCCACTCCTCCTGGCTACTTTGGCCTGCCATGCGGCCCAAAGTGGCTTGGGGCAGGTTTGGCACCCCTTCGATTGACCTATCCTATCTCCTGCTGGCATAGAAAGGGTTCTTTGGGTATTGTATTGTGTTGCTGAGTCTCCCTGAGATGTTGATGATTATCCATTGTTAATGGATAGTTACATGCTAACAAAATTCAAGTGATGGTGTGTCCCCTTTTCTTTCTTTGGAAGAATTAGATATGTCTGTCTTTGCATGTAGGGAGTTCTTTGTTTCTTCAAATGTTCCCTTTTTTGTGGTTTCTTATTTGCTATATCTGTTGCTTTCCAGGCTGATGTAATTGTTAGAGGCTATGGTGGCTACAACACAAGGTGGGCTTTGTTCTTGCTTAATCACCTCTTTTCCCTGGTATGTCTTTGCAATCTCTATAATTTTTTGCCTTGTTTTTGTGCATTCCATTTTGTGCATATTTTTTGCAGGACTTTATTGTCTTGCAGATGCTGTGCCAATAGTATTTTAGTTTTAGTTGAGTATATATGCTTGTTTCTGTTCGACCACTGAGTGATCATGTTTAGGTGTCTTGTTCATCTTTTCTGAACTAAAAGGCTTTACATGTGTGTGTGTGTGTGTGTGTCTGCAGAACTGCACAGCACCTCCTGCTGCTGTAACTATCTTTTTTGGCGCTAATGATGCAGCCCTTTTGGGGCGGACAAGTGAACGTCAATATGTGCCTCTTGAAGAGTACAAGGAGAACTTAAGGAAAATTGTTAAGCATTTAAAGGTAACAGGGTTTATTATTTTAATTTTGTAATTGTGATTCTTAATATCCTTATATCTTGCATTGTTATCTAATCTTTGCTTGGCCTTTATGCTTGTATGGCAATTAAAGTAGTGGCAAGGACTTCAATTTCGCTCAGACTGTTCGTACTGATCGATATTTGTTGGTCCAGATCTGAACTAAGATGCTGATCATGTTTAGGAACTTTTCCAGGACCTTGTAGTATTTTAGAAGTAATTAAAGGTAACTTAAAATTATTGTAGTACATCACTGGAGCAAGTTGCTGTGGCAGTTACTCTATATTAATAATGATGTGAAGCTCAATAGCATTTTAGATTGAATAAAATGATGGGTACTGTATTAATAATGATGTGAAGCTCAATAGCATTAATAATCACTGTAGCAGTCTGAATATACCGCTCGGTACACCTGGGTGTACCGAGCGGTATACCGTACCGTACCAGTACTGAGCCCAGATCAAAATTCCGGTACGGTACGGTATTGCGAACCTTGGGTCATAGTAACTCAAACTGACTCAATTAGCTGATAAAAGGTAGATCAAATTAATTCATGCAAGAAAATAATACACAAACTTCATTGGGTTGATGCGTTTTGAGGCTGCAAACAGCAGCTTTTAATAAATATCCATATGTGCTTTACTTATAATTTACTTAGGGTTGCTTTGTCTCCTGAAAATATAATGGCCACCTATAACAATCAGCCATAGCCCCATAAATCTTGAAGGTCTAGGATATTTTTATAGCTGATTTATAAAAAAATTGTTGTTTATTTTCTGTTGGCATTTGCTATTTAGTACCAGATGTAATTTGTTAGTTTGTTGATGCATGCATATCTTATGATTTTGTGCATGTTGTGATCTTACAGGAATGTTCAGCCATGATACTGGTAGTGTTGATCACTCCGCCCCCTGTTGATGAGCAAGGACGGACAGAATATGCACGGTTTGGTTTCTTCTTTTCCCCCCTCCATCTTCTCACTCAATAATAATGGTATTTCACAACATTTGCCGTCGATTTCAGTCTTTTGTTACATGCTAAGTCCAATTACATATTTTGCACTCATCTTTTATTTTTTCTTTGATAAATGCATTCATAGACAATAGGGAGTTTGGTTGAACCTTAATGTGTATTACTCTATGAGGAATGGTACAATAGACACCTAATAGAACTCTGAACATAATTGGGAAACTAAAGTTCAAGAGCTGAACAAATTCAATCGCTGACATCAAATTTTGAATTGTAAAAGATATTACCAGAGAGCACAAAAGAATCTTCTAAGCATTTTTAGGATTATATATCAACTTAGGCATATCTGATGGATATTTTGATCAAGGTTGAAATATTGGTCTGATATATAGTTTGAGCAATCAGTTGGATTGGTACGCACCATTGGGTACCATAAAAAACCTAAAAAAAAAAAGATACCAATTAAATCTGACTTATATGGTCTAATAACGATCATCAGTCAGGCTGGTAAATATCAGTTTACACACTGGCCCAACCAGTATTTGAAACTTTAGTTTTGACATGATATGAAATTTGTCGGATATAGCTATTGAGAAAACAGCGAGAGAGGTAGTTGTTAGTGGATTAGAACACGTGGGTAAGAAGCTGGAAGGTATCCAGTTTTGATACGATATGAGAACTGATGTAATTCAGCTTACCAATTCTTACAAGAAGATAAAGACAAAGCCCTCAGACCGAAACTCAAAATCGACTTTTTGTGTCATCCAATTGTATTGCTTTTAATAGTAGGAAATAAACAAGATTAAGAATTAAATAGTGAATCATGGGTGATATTACATGATAATTTTATAGGAAATGTGCTAAAAGTTCACATTACTCTGCTTATTAAAGCTTATTAAGTATTATTTTGTTAGACATTTCATTAAATGAAATTGCTTTTTCGTTACCAAGATCTGTATATGGTGAGAAGGCAATGGAACTTCCAGAAAGGACAAATGATAATACTGGTGCTTATGCAAGGCAGTGTGTTGAGCTGGCTAAAGAGTTGCATATTCCTTGCATTGATCTATGGTCAAAGATGCAAGAAACTACAGGATGGCAGAAAAAGTTTCTAAGGTAAGCTCCCAGTGTGCTTTTTTGCATGTTTTATGCTGATGATAAATTGGTAAGTTATTTTTGTAACTTCAAATCCAAAGCCAGTCCATACAGTCTCCTTTCCATTAAATTTTGTCATCTACTCATGAGTTTTTCTTCATTTAATTTGGTTTTGGTCAGTTCTTACTAATTTTAGATGGAACTATGTCATTTAATTAGATGGAACTATGTCATACAATTTTTTAAATAGATTTTCTACTAATGACTTTATTTTTTGTGTAGGATTGGTATTTGACAAGTACCAGGGAGATAACCTGGTATTTGACAACTGGTGACTGGCAAGCTTGATATTGACTGATACCACCTAGTTGTCCCTTATCTATGCACTAATCAACCATGAAACCTGAGAATACTATGTGTTACGTAATGGTCTGACTGGTTTTTGAGTATTTGACAAGTACCAGGGAGATAACCTGGTATTTGACAACTAGTGAGTGGTAAGTTTCATATCGAGTGATACCACCTAGTTGTCCCTTAACTGTGCACTAATCAACCTTGAAACCTGAAAATACTATGTGATACGTAATGGTCTGACTGGTTTTTGAGACCAAGTTTACATGTATCAAGTAGTATTGTAACTTAACCATACAACAAAAAATAAAAAAAGGAGAAAAAGAGTATGTTAGCTTCTAGCATCATCACAGCCCTCTTAGCAGAGGATACCAGAGCACAAATTGTCTTGTAATTTACCAGGCTAGGTCCTCTTGATTTGGCACCAGTAAAATCAGAGTACTTGAATTATTGAATCTAGGACCCAGTGATGAACTATAAAAACAATTTATGACTGTAAGCTGGTAGTGTGTGCCAACTCCACAGTTTGACTCAAAGACCAACTGGACAGTTGTCGGTTGAATCCAATTCTTACAAACAGCTGACACTGTGTTATTCCATAATTTGTTATATATGTCATTGTATTTCAAGATATGTTTGAATATGCCTTAAGCTACGCCACTACTGTTGGAGTTTCTAGTTAATTAGTAATGGTTCAAAATACATGGCGACCATCTTTGCTGTATGTATTTTATAAGAATGATATACTCAAACTGGAAAGTGAACAATCACAAGGTTCTTGCCCACGAGTTGATAACCAAAAAGTTGAATACTCTACAGTATGCAGATTAATGCAAATAGTTTTAATTGGTATTGCTTTCATTTATGGAGCTGGTGTTTAATCAGTTTCAGATCCTATTGTTGTAAAAAGTAATAGAATTGGATTAATTACCTATTTTTGCAGGAACAATTAATAGACTGACTGAAATACAAAATGGTTGGGATCTTATCCATTTCTGGTATTAATTAATAGTTGTTCTGTAACTAAAAATGGTCTGTTTTCTTATTTATAGTATTTGAACTCTCTTGATAAAGGGTGCCATGCATGGTTTGCAATTAAAATTGTACTTTTCTTGACATAAATATTTCTAATACGTGTGGATTCAAGTAAATGAAACATCTTCAAGGCTTCAGTAGTTTGCATCAACTAATCCAGACCAGAAGTTCCTGTACACAAGTGTATTGGAGCCTTCTGATAGTCTTTATATGTTACCAAGTCTAAGTCAGTTGGAGACTTCTCAATCATGTTTTGATTCCATGCATATTTATACATTGTACAAGCCAAGCTGAGATAGTGGTTTATGTTAGTAGATAAAAGCTCTGCCCTATGAGTCTCTCTCGGCAACACCAGATTACTAATGCATGATGCACTGATACAAATCGTTTTTCCAGTGATGGCTTGCACTTAACAGAAGAAGGCAATTCAGTTGTTCACGAAGAAGTTGTACAGGTTCTCACGGATGCCCACCTCCGAGCTGAAGCGATGCCATACGATTTCCCTCACCATTCGGAGATTGACAGTGATCACCCTGAGAAAGCATTCGAACCAAAGAGCTAGGTCCTTCCCATCTTGGTAACATGGCACATGCATACTTTACTGATTCATTGAAATGTCAAGTGATCTTGGGGCACTTTACCACTAAACCCATATTGTTTTTCTTGCACTGGTTTGTCACTTGACTATTCAAGTGCATCTATTTGTTTGCATGCTTTTAATCCGTGAGTTATTTGTCTGCTGGGTAAAATAAGTACCAATTATCTGTGATACAATGTTTTATACCCTGTCAAGATCACTGTAGCAAACTGAAATATGCAAGATACAGATGCTTCAAATTGATGTTTTCTTTATTTTTCTGTTTTTTTAAAGATTGGATTGAGACTTGTGTATCCTCAATAGTTTGGTCTAATTCATGACAATTTTCAAATATCACATTATCAATAAACTATAGATTTTAAATAAATAAATATCATTGAATGAGGTTCTGTAATTTTGGAGCTTGAAGACTATAAAGTCAACTTTCTTTAGACTAAATGCAATGAAAAAAAATGAGTAAAATGCTATTCTGTTTCCTTATGATTATTTCTAAAAAATAATCAACCTTATGAAAATTAAATTTATTGGTGTCACCTTAATAATGACATCATTTTTGAGAAATTCAAATAATACCACAATCAACTCTCATATTACCATCTATCCTACGCTTTAATCTTCGTCGATGTCGTATGTCCTCGAATAAAGATAGAAGTGTTTTCTTCCATTGATGCGCGATTCAGAGATTTCAGTGGTGGGTTATGATGTGCTTGATAGCACAATCTCAACTGCAACAATAATTGGAGAGAATAGGGTTAATTGGTTAAAGCTGAAATCTTCACCAGTAGGGAGTTGGAGCGGGAGCGGGAGTGGGAGTGGGAGTGGGACACCAACTGCAGTTGAAGACAACATTGCGCCTCCATCCCTGCAGCACGGCGCATCTGAAGCGGAGTTCCTTTCTTCCCTCGCCACCATTCCCCACATCCTCATCATACAACCATTAGCAAGCAAACGCCCATGCCGATGATGGCGTTGTTGGCCTCTCCTCATCCGCCGACCATCTTCCGTGCCCTATCCTGTAAGCGTAACCATCTCCGCCCCAGAATCACATCACCGCCGCCCTCTCTTCTACTTCTGACTGCCAGGAACCTATCTCTGGTTCTTGCGAGATGCGCGGATGGATCTGCTGACGCCGTAGACGGGAATATGGAGAAGAAGGACGAGGCCGTTTCTCCTACTCCTCGTCCTCTGGAGTCGGAGAAGAATAAGCAGCCGCATCAGCAGCAGCAGCAGTACCACCACCATGAGATTCGTGATGGTTCCGTGGTGAAGGCACAAGCGCTCAAGTTCGAGGACACGAGATGGGTTGGGGGAACCTGGGATACGAGGCAGTTTGGGAAGAATGGAAGAACAGATTGGGACGCCGTCATACATGCCGGTAAGCCTCTCTTTTCTTCTTGACCTTTTACAAGATTGTACATCAATATGGTCTCCCAGGTAAAAATTCCCTTAAATTACTTATCATCTTTGTGCTCTAGCTTCCTGATAGATCTCCAGATGTTTGTAGCGCGTGCTATATGGTTCATTATGCTTAAGGAGCAGCATACAAGTGTAGTTATCCTTCTTAATTTGGTTGGTTTATGCAGTATCATAGGAGGTGGTGTGTATTTGATTTCTTTGTATACTGATTTAATTGGACTAGTTTCCTTGTCATACATCTCAGGTCACTATATTATATGATGCATCTCCCTTATCCAAGCCAGATTAAATCTGCCCGCAAATATATGTAGCAACTGTGCTTAAACCACCATAACCAAGTAATTTTGGAGGTCTAGGTTTGTGTCTCTTTAGCCACTAAGTTGTCTAGGCAATGCCACAATGACTTGTGCTTCAAACTCAACCCTACTCTTAAAGTCTAAACTCAATAATGCATCTTGATCAACTCAACTATAGAGTGATTCTCATAGCTGATCCTCTTTGGGGAAGAGAATAGGGGGGTTGATAGCAGCTTCGACATGATTGACTAGCCCAGAGAGGAATTCGGCCCCAAAAACCTAGTTTTATGTTGAGGTTATGTGATCAACTTGGTTAGCGCAGGCTCTATCTTGTCACATTAACCTCTCAAGATGGCTTCAATGTCTTTGTGGATGTCTCTTACAGCTTTTACAAGAGTTTGGGAGGCTTTTAATCAAGGTTTGACCAGTCAGTTGTCCAATTTAAGGTCAAATTAATATTTTAAAAGGATAATGATGTAATCTAAATGAGTTATTTGCTTACATAGACTTGTATTTCGAGAATACTATAGTCATCTTTCTACAGAGATATTATGAGATGATGAGATTTTCTTCCAGCAACTCCGAGAAATATATAAGCATATTGGCCATAAGACACATTTAAAACCAAAAGAACATTTTCTTCACTCAAATTTCTTCGCTTTTCCTCTATTCTCCATTTTGTTTCTCTCTTTTCTTAGAATTCTTTCTTGGAGGTTACCACCTTCTCTAGAAGGAAAGGGATATCCAAAAAGTTGGTGACACATCCTCTAACTATAGTTGTTGGAAATTTTAGCTCATATTTCTTTTAGTGCCACACAGTAAATTAGTGTTCATTGAATGTACAAGAACATAAATGACACCAGTGATTTAAAAAGCGTTAGGCACCAAAAGGCGCTAAGGTTCTAAAATGCCTAAGGCACTAGGCGCTCACTCGAACAAAGCGAGACGCTATGAAATATTAAAATATAAAAAATATATAATATAATTAAAAATATAATTATTTAAATAAAAATTATGATATTAAATTAAAAATATACTGTTAACAGTAACAGAAGGAGATAAAAGGGTCACCGACAGTGGAAACCCATGAAAGCGACAATAATAGCGATGAGAAGCTGGCAGCAACAGTGGGGGAAACTGTAGACAGCAACAGCGGTGGAAGCTGCAGATAGCAGCAGCGGTAGCGACGGAAGCTCTAGAGGGTGCTCGTTAGTGGTGGAGGAACCTGTGGTCCTCTCCCTTGACAATGGAAGGAACTCCACATGGAGCGACAACAGAAGGAAGCTACAGGCTCTTGCTAGGTCATTAGACTCGTCTATCATTGACAGAGGAAGGCTCGGACCGCTGCATCTGCAGCGAAGGCAGTTGCAGAAAGTGTCAGCGACGAAGGCAGAAGTAGCGCTAGGGTTGGCTCGGGGTTGTGCAGGCATGAAGGGTGGCTTTTGAGGGTAAGAAACATCGTTATTGAATTGAACCATATTTAAAAGTCTGGTTTGGTTCGCTTATTTGAATTGGGTGCTCACCTGAAGCGCCCGGGCGATGCCTCATTGAAGCGCGCTGCTTGGTCTACACATGAGACGCTTGGGGCTCGCCTCGCCCGAGCGCCTAGGTGAGCGCCCGAGTGCCTATTTAAATCACTGAATGACACGCTAGTACTCTTAGTGACTAAAGGATTGATGCCTAAAGGAAACATGGAAAGGATTGTCATCAGTGATGTGAAACCATCATGGTTTATATTAGTAGTTCATTTAGTTCAGTATATTTATAGTTAAGATTATGACCACTCGATAAATCTATGAATTTTCTGTATAATCAATTGGCCAAATGAGAGAACATTAGATTATTTTTCTTAAATGTTTCTTTCATTACTGCATGAATATTTTGTGTGTGTGGATTTCATGAAAGTGGGAAATACTTGTAAAGCAACATATGCAAATTATAAATCATATGAAGGTGAGAGTTACTTAAAGGCATGCTGTCACGGACTTAGCTAGAATTGCCTAAGTCGTGAGGCACCCTTGCGGCCAAGATGCAAATTTAGCTTGAGTTACTTAAGTCGCGATGCACCCTTGCGCCAATTTCACGGACTTAGCAAGGATTGCCTAAGTCTTGAGGCATCCTTGCGACATAAGCGTCTGCAAAGGTTGAGTCTAGTTGCAACCTCGTACAGGTCCCGAATGACCTATAAAAACAGAAAGTTGATTAGATTGAAAACAAGCGATGGACAAGTCCCGACATCTCGCAAAGAGGGAAGTTTTACAAGCAATTCAGCAAGCACCTTGTGTGCACAGGAGAAAAGAGAGGAAGGAGGAAAACAAGGACTTTAGAAGATAGAACGAACAATTGCAAGTCCACAAACAACTACTCACCGGGTGCCGGGCGCGAAGGCAAGTTCCCGTCAAGTCAGCGTGCGAACTTGTGAAGATTTTTCAACGCCCGACAATATACCGAAGTCCCATCCAGCCCTATGCCACCCGGGGGGTTCCAGGGTGCTGAGATGGCTGACATTTCGCGCGCTGCAGCGGGCTTCAGAAAACAGCCCACGGCACACGAAAACGGAGTCATTTTGGGGCTTTTTGACCCGGCGCAGTGAGCGATCGCACTGTGCGCTGCAACCTATTTGAACATGTATTTTTACAACAAAAAACACACAAAACCAAGGCAAAACAAGCTGTCATGTCTGTGTTCAAGCATGCAAAAGCGACGAACGGTTCGTTGAACGAAGTTGTTGCGAGTGTGCAACAACCGTTCGTGACAATGCGGTCTACATGAAGTGAATGGTGTAATGGCATTAAGAAGAATAGTTATCTTTCCATACCTCTTAAATTCAATGTGTTTTGAGTCAATTATCTTCCAAAATATAAGTACATACGTGACCTTGATTTATGAACAGCATTTATTCGTTAACGGAGTAACACCTTTAAGAGCATTGAGGAAGACGAAGAGTCAAGGTGGAACTAGCCACTTTAGATAAACCTTGGTCGCTGTCTTTCCTCTAACCTACATACTCCTACATATTGTTCATCAATTTCCATCTCTAAATAACAAACTTAAAAAGATAGAGAGAAGAAAAAAATAAAAAAGATATAGAGAAGATCAAATCGCTAAACAAATCCTTTTACTTATGTAGTAACCTGATTACATTATTATAATTTAAGGTTGTAGTTATTTCTCAAATGGCTCAAGTTAAGTTGCAAGGTATTGTTTGATTTTTTTTCCTTTGTGTTGTCTATTAGCATATTTTTTTCACATTCATATGGTTCATAGGTTATAGCAAATGATCGTACAATTTTCTAACGTAAGTAAAGATTAATTTGGTGCAACAAATCCTGGCAGGGGCCTTTTTCCATGCAGATTCTGCAACTTCTTTGAACAGTAGTATGTTTCTTATTATTCCTCTTTAGTATCAGATGTAGTTTGGAAATTTACAAATTTTAAGAAAATTATTATATACAAACACTTCCAAGCTTGTCTTCAGAGAAATTCATCAAATCTCTGCTTAGATACCTCCTGGTTTTGGGTAAGAAATACAAATCATATCTGTCAGCTCATGTTTTTGTTGAAAATTTTTGTTTTGTATTGTCCTGAAAGAAAGCCTCATAATTATCATTAGTCGTGTTTAATTACAAATTCCCAACAGAACTGTTGGCTTAACATATTATTCACATGGGAGTAATAAATGTTTTAGATGCAGATTAGACCTGAATGCAAATAAATGTAATAGAGAAAGAGCTTATACCTGGTAACACAAGATTTATTCCAGCTGATCAAGAAATGTTGTTTGCAAACTATGTCTCTCTCATAGAATGAATGTCTTGTCATCTAGAGGCTAGCAGGAGAAAATGGCTTGAAGACCATCCTGAAGCCTCAAGTATCGACGAACCTGTAATATTTGATACATCAATCATACCCTGGTGGGCATGGATCAAAAGTTTTCATCTTCCTGAAGCAGAGAAACTCAATGGTGGGTTATTCCATTGCCTCTTGTTGATCTGTGGATGAATCGGTCAACGAAGATAGTAAATTATCTTACACCATGACAACTATGCAGGTCGTGCTGCAATGATTGGTTTTTTCATGGCTTATTTCGTCGATAGCTTAACCGGCATCGGGCTTGTTGGTCAAACGGGTAACTTTTTCTGCAAAACCATGTTATTTGCAACCGTAGTTTGGGTACTGCTGATCAGGGAAAACAGAGATATTGAGAACTTAAAGAAGCTCTTCGAGGAAACGACTATGTACGACAAGCAATGGCGAGCAACTTGGCAGGATGATGCTCCTGGCGACTCCAAGAAGTGAATTCTAATAGTCAGTGTTCTTTAGAACTCCATCTCTCGTGTTTTGCAGGCTAAGCTTTTGTTGTGTCTTCCTTTGGAAACAACTCCATCTCTTGTGATTTGCAGGCTAAGCTTTTGTTGTCTTCCTTTGGAAAACAAGAGAAACAACTATTTAGATCAACACCTATAAATAATAATATCTGGAAGTGACTAGCTGCATGACTTGAGTCATTAACTTATCCTTTGAGCATTAATGTTCCGTCCATGTGAAATGCTGGCAATTTTGGTGTTGTCATTTCAAGACACCTATAAATGCTGGTTTGTGTGCATCTGTTAGAGGTGAGACATTAGCCATATATTCAAATGTCCGGATCTTCATATATATATATATATATATATATATATATATATATATATATATATATATATATATATATATATATATATATATTTCAACTCTTGCAAGGATGAGGCCAAAACAATATCATTATGAGCCCTCATAACACTCGTAAAATAATAGCAACAGAAGGCTTTCGTCAGAAAACCCAGAATCAAATAGTAACATTGCTTTCTTTTCTACTTCAAAAACATCAGAAACGACTTGGATATTTGAATCGTGAGTCTCATTGGGCTAAAATTATATAACGCGTTTTCGTATGTATGCGCTAATATAACACGCAAGCGACATCTACTTAGCTGTACACAGCATCTCCACGAACAAATCGTGCGTCGTTGATCCCCCATGTTGGCCACGTGGACAAGTGGACGCCATCCGATGAAACATCTCACTGGGGAATCCAAGTGCCGTCTATATTGATTATATGCCCATCCTTCCCATCAATGTGCAGTAGGTATATATTTGTCGATTAATATACCTTCCGCGCGGCTCATATGACTCGTAGAATATTGAAACGAGTGCGTAAAGAATCCACAACATCTGATCCATAGCAACCAAAGTTGTTCAGTATTTTAATCTGAGTTTTGATTCACGAGAGATCCCGATGACGATTAAACAGGGAAGAAAGAAAACAATATGTTTGGGAAATCCAAAAGAGGACTGTTCCTACTCGTTTGAGCCGAGCTGATCGATCACGTTGGCCATGTTAGTTAGCTCAGAGATCCACTCGTGAGTCCTCCAGCTCGAGGCTCTTTGACCAACTAGATAAGCGACCCTCTCGATTACTACTCCAAGGGAAGGTTGACGCACAGGTCGGTCGGCGATCCCAGGTTGCATGTAGACGTACGAATAGAGCGTGCATATGGAGAGGAGGAAGAAGGTCGTCGTCGTCCTCGCATCCGCTTTCCTCTTCCTCGTGCAGTCGTTGTTTTCCACCACTTGTGCTCTCCGCCGGGATCAGTTCCCTCCATCTTTTCTCTTCGGGACCTCAACCTCCGCCTACCAGGTACTCATCACTTCCTCCTTTTGTACTCGTCACTTCCTCTTCCCACCATCGTACGCTATCTATGGAGTCGGGAAGAGGATCATCCGTCACGAGAAGAGTACGAGACTGCAGTGATGCGTGCGCTAATATCGATTGCTGCTGGTCAAATCTTGTCAAGAAAGAGAGGACAATAATATTGATAACTTTCATCTTCTCTTTCCTTTTTTTTCCTCATCTCGGTCATTTTGAAAAGAAGGAAATCTATCGGGTGAGTGGCTTCTCCTCCTCATCCTTCATTGTTGGAACTTAAGAAAGGTCTATTACCTAATAATATCCCTGACATCTCCGACAAACGCAAAGGCCACGGGAAGGAGATAACACTCGAAACAGGACATCGATACTTGTGCAGGAATAGTCTTCTTGATTGCTTGCGGCTCTTTGCCATATTGTTTGATGTTGACTTTCGCTGCGATGTCTTTGACGCATTCATCCATCTACCGACTATAGATATGGCCATGTCTTTTTAAGTACTGTATTAGGTGGGGAAGGGGGATAATAAATTTTTTTTAAAAAAATAAAAAATAAAGATTAATAAATAAAAAATATATTAAAAAATCGATATAAGATTAATACCTCTCACTTACATCTATAAAATAATTAAAATTTTTATCACATAAAACTCGAAGAATTTATAATTTTTTCTTTTCTAAACCACACAGAAATTCAAGAGTCCCCGAAGATAAAACCCTAATTTTTAGGATAGAACTTTTTTTCGTACTAGGATTTCTTTCTTCCTAGACATTAATTCTCAAAATCTCTTACATATACTATTCTAATAGTATGATTGACTTTCCTCGGATGGTAAACAAATAGATTTTATGAGAGAGAAAGAGTGTTAATACTTGAACAAGTCAGCTTGTATTTAATATATATTACTGTTGAATTCTCTCGCAGTCTCAAACTTCTTTTGATTGTAGATCGAGGGTGCGTATCAAGAAGGTAACAAAAGCTTGAGCAACTGGGACGTCTTCACTCACTCACAAGGTAATGTCATCTCTCTCTCTCTCTCTCTCTCTTACCATGTTATATTACTCGACCTTCCTGTCTCTTCTTCATCCATCAACTTGTCAAGTCTCTGCAGATGAACTCAAGTTTGTATGTATCATTCATGCTTGTTTGTTTTGGTTCTTCCACTGTGCAGGAGGCAAGATAAAGGATGGCAGCAATGGAGATGTTGCAGCTGATCATTACCACATCTACATGGTATCTCTGTTCATGATAACAAATGAGTAGTAGGTTTTTAGGCTCCTATTTAGCTACTAGTTTTGTGATTTCACGCCATAGCTGAGTCGAGTCTCTTTCATGCTATATTAATAATGAGGAGAAACCTTGAATCGAACTATTGGAGTTTATACCTAACCTCCAAATTTTAAGTTGAATCTTTTAGGGCTGTTTTGTTTCATATGTGCACATCTCAAGCATGAACAATAATACTTAGATTATTGAAAGTTTCATACTCTAGTTTTCTACGTCTGTGTTGCTAATGATTACATCGTATTTATGTCACCAAATTGCACGTTCTAATCAAGAGGAGTGATTTATGCAGGAAGATATTGAGCTCATGCATTCACTCGGAATCAACTCCTACAGGTTCTCCATTTCATGGTCGAGAGTCCTCCCAAGTTAGTGCCCAAAGAACTAAGTTGTGTTATCTCGATAGACTTTTAACCACGCGTGATTTCTATTCTTCTATGTTTATGCTTATTTATGTGGATAATTATGCATAATCGGTAGGTTTTATCTTATCTAGCCAAGTATATTTGTGATCATAATCATATGATATGATCCATTTGGGATGTCATTGCAAATTCGTATATGTTATTGTCACGAACTTAGTTATATGTTATTGTCGCCAGGAGGTCGATATGGGAAGATTAATCCGACAGGCATAGCATTCTACAACAACCTTATCGATTCCCTGTTGCTAAGAGGTAGTCATCATGTCATTATTTATTCCTAAGAGGTAGTCATCATGTCATTATTTATTCCTCACACAAACAAAAGAGTGCTCACATCGATCATATCAAACTTAAGCGAGTCGATTACGACACTAAATGACTTGTTATTGAAGTTAATAGTTCGATTTTATATTTTTCGGGAACATTTTCAAATCTTCACCGAAAAATAAAGCATCTAATGTTTTGGATCTTCGCATACCATAATCGATGCAGGCATAGAACCATTTGTCACACTGAGTCACTATGACATTCCTCAAGAACTCGAAGATCGATATGGAGCTTGGCTAAGTCCAAAAATACAGTATGCATTTCTTCCTTATCCTTTTCTTTCATGACTGTAGTTAATTTCACTTTCTATTAGATATGTTGAGTTAGTTATCATTCATGATGTGAATTTTCAGGAAAGATTTTGGATATTTTGCTGAGGTTTGCTTTAGCAAATTTGGTGATAGAGTGAAGTATTGGAGCACATTCAACGAGCCACGTATGATGGTGAGATATGGATATGGCACCGGAGAGTATCCTCCCGGGCATCGCAATAAAGAATTTATAGCCGGTCACAATGCTATATTATCGCATGCTACCGCGGTGGAGATCTATAGGAAGAGATATCAGGTACAAGTTTTGTCATCAAATATAAGAATTTAATCTTTTCAAATTTATCTCCATAATGTTTTTTTGCGAAAAGAAAAAAGTATCTATTACTTCCTCACGGATCTACAAAAGGACTCATGAAGGTCTGTATCCAGTTAGATTACAGTGATGTATTATGCAGCTCAGTTTGATGTCTGATTTGCATCGTCTTCTTTGAATATGGAACCTCAGAATAATAAGTTCAATTGTAAATTTAAAATCAGCATTAGTTTTTATGATATTATAGTACTTGCAAAATGTCTTTCATTTCTAATCTTCTTTCTTTGCTTGATTCAATCTAAAGGTGAAACAGCAAGGCATGATTGGGATTGTAATTTTCATGTGCTGGTTTGAGCCACTCAGGAACAACTCATTGGATTTTCTAGTAGCCCGACAAGTAATGTCCTTCCAAGCTGCATGGTAATTTCTCCATCCATCAAACTATTAGTAGATGTACTATCAACTTATTTATTTCCATGTAAGTGCAAGTTTAGATAATTCTTGCTGCTTGTATACTTGAAACATAAGAAATTATTTCTATTATATCTTTCTATATATTAGAAGAGGTAATTAACACCGCTCTACGAGGGAGGAGTAGCCACCAGAACGATTGATGGGATAAGAAAGAGAGAACTTTGTATACGAACAAATACAAGCATATTGTAACAGCAACGGAATTAAATGGAATCATAATAAAATAGGATACTAAGATTTACGTGGAATACCCCTCCAAAGTGAAGGATAAAAACCATGAGGCAAACCAGAGAAAATCCACTATAAGAATAATGAATATACAAATCTCAAAGTCTCTTACCCAAAACCCAAGCAATAATCACAAGAGAATAACTGGGATACAAGGATTACGTCACTGTACACAATATCCAAAATCTCCCTAAGTAATCATAGCAAGAATCTATTATAGATCTGATCTAACATGAGATGAGAACACTGTCTAGATGATTGAGAAGAGTCTCTTTGCATTGCCCTTGTCTTCTTCATTTTCTTTCTCTTGTTTTTTTTTTATCATTTTCTTCTCTTTTTGAATCACGTTGCTTCTGCCCCTATTGCTGCAGTTTTTTTTCTTATTTTTCGCAACCACCACACCCCCTTATTAGATCTAGGTTTAAGTTAAAAGAGAGATGAGATGGACTGTTAAAGCTCATTATGAGCTGAACTCATGGGATGTCAGCCCAACAATGGTAAGGTTACTTCTTTCATTTATGATATTGGGTGCAAGTCATAAAAAACAATCTCTCTATCTTCAAGATAAGAATTTAATTTTCCTCATATCCTATGGGTTAAAGTCTAATGCATTGGATACATCATTAGACAATTCTTGCTTGTTATATACTTGAAACATAAGAAATTATTTCTATTATGTCTTTTTATATATTAGAAGAGGTTATTAAGTCATATCTCTCTATCTTCATAGATAAGAATACATACGTTAATTTTAGACCATCATTTTATTGGTTACGGACCTCTCTTGCTCTACACCTCGCTAGCATTTAAGACCGCAAAAATTTTGCCTTTCGTATTCGTTAACAAGGTAATAATCTAAGTCCTTTTTTATGAATCTTTTGTGTTGTTCTTATAATGTTCTTAAGTACTTGTGTTTTGTAGGTTTCTCGATCCAATAATCCATGGTGATTATCCACCCGAAATGCGGCAGGCTTTAGGTTCAAAACTCCCTACATTCTCAATTAAGGAGAGGAGAAAGCTTCAATATAAGTTGGATTTTATTGGAATCAATCACTATACTAGCTTGTATGTCAGAGACTGTACCTTTTCTCCATGCAAGTCAAGTAGAAATATAGGTGAATCATTTATCTACACCGAAAGAAATGGAATTCCCATTGGAAAACCAGTAAGCTTCACAAGAAATATATCAGATTATATTCATGTCATGCTCTATCATATATATAGATAGTCTCGTCGAGTGGCTTATTGTTCAATTACGTTTCACAGACCGCAATGCCAAATTACTATGTTGTTCCTTACGGCATCGAAGAGGTGGTTTTGTACACCATGAGAAGATACAATAACACCCCCATGTTCATCACTGAAAACGGTACGTATGATTTCGATTATTGTCATCACATGATCACATACGTGACTTAGCTTTATGATCACTGTGTTCTTAACTTCGTAGGTTATGCCCAACACAGCAACTCTTCGATGACGGAGTTACTGAATGACAGCGATAGAGTGGACGCCATGCGTCAATATCTTACATATCTAAACAATGCCATGAGGTTAAATTCTTATGCATCAGTTCCCTTCACAAATGTCAAATGCTTCACTAACATCACTCGATAGAGTACTCAACGTATATGTAAGTTGATGTCTTGTGCCTGTTGGTGCAGGAAAGGGGCAGACGTTAGGGGTTACTTCGTGTGGTCTCTCATGGATAACTTCGAATGGCTTTATGGGTACACCATGAGATTTGGACTCCATCATGTGGACTACAATACACAGAAGAGGACACCAAAGTTATCGGCGAGGTGGTATAAGCAATTCCTACATGGTGTTGAGGTACAACATGAACATGAGCAAGTAGATACGATTTAAGATGAGAGAGTCGATTAACTTGTATGAAAATGAAGCACTTTTTTTTTTTGGGTATATTCATCCATATACAATAATGTTGATATGATTCGTTATAAAGTTTATTTGTTTGCTACCTCTTAACGTTAATCTAGTAAGGTCAAATTTTAGTTGCCTCGTCGAGGTGGGAGACGGATGGAGATGACTTGATCCTTTTTGTTGAATGATAGCACCATGAGCTTTGAGAATATCATATATCATGTGTGTTATGTCTTAAGCTTCGAAAGGATCCTCTCATCACCGTAAAGAGCATAAACACCATATGACACTGGAAAGGTATCTACAAAATAAAAGGTACCGAGTGGTTACTTGATAAAACCTCCTCTTTGCTCAAGTCACTTATATTCGAAGAGAAGAGAGCGAGAAACAGTGGCGTTTAGATACAATTCTTATCATAAGTATATACGTCTTTAGTTGCCATGAGAACAATGTTGTAAAATCCTTTGTTACATATGGTTATGAAACATATTTTCTATTTCAATAATATGTTATTCTATTGCTAAAATAATATTGTTATCATGATGTTCACAGATTTAATAAAATATACTAAATTGAAAACTAGATTCATTCAAACTTGATCACGCCATGGTATGGTGGTAGTGTTAGTATAATATCGAAAATCAATTTAGGATCTAATTAGTATCCTATTCTAACTTAGTGATAATTATGTGATGAAAATATTGCTAGTCATACGTGCCCAACAAGCTAATCATATGAGTGATGACACGTGTGACTTCACATACAATCTTTTTGCTCATTATATTTTGGTATTTATCACTTTATATTGATTATTGTATATATGTATTTATATATTGTGATGTCCTTAGATATGTGTGATGAAAATCGGATCATGATGAGATCACGATAATGAGACATATTCGCCTTTAAACATAGATCCTAAATAATCCCGGTCATAGGTTACTCGAGAGGGACATCGAGATAACCAGACAGACTAGTGTGCTGTATACTCGTCCATATGATGGATGTAGTTGGTCTCATAGTTGCTCGTGTGGGGATACTAGGGATACAGTATAGGTGCTCATTGGAGAATTAGTTCACTGATTGATCCGCTTACGGAATGTTAGATGGTTGATGATACCTTATTGTCAGACTGCGATTCAGTAGTCTTAGTGGTGTATCTGGTCTTTAGACTTGAGATACTAAGGATGTCCCAGATCTAGCATAGTCGGTCTTCGGGAGTAGTAGTCAACCTTACTATTGAGTGTCGATGGAGGATCATCCACTTTCGGTATCATGAGAGGAATATCTCATGTGTTCTTGCTCAGACAAATCCCTAGCTAAGGTCATTCAGATTGAGAGAGAAAGAGTTCTCCGGGAGAATCCGATTAGAGCAAGACTCGAGTAGAAACCGTATGGGTTTGACAGCACCATACCCGGTATATGGTCTTTGGGATATTAGATGGATGAAGGACTATAGGTACACGGTAACTGAGGACAGACATGTCCAATGGATTGGATTCCCCTGTATCGTCTAGGGACTACGGCGTAGTGGCATAGAACGTCTGCAGTCGATGAGTCGAGTGAATTGTTATGGAGATAATAATTTACTGAGCCAGAAGGAGTTCTGACAAGTATGACTCACGGCCAGCTCGATATTGGGCCTAGAGGGTCACACACATACGGTAGGCGTTACGATGAGTAGAGGTTCGGATATGAGATATCCACCGGAGCCCCTATCTTATTAGATATCCAATAAGCCATTGAATTATTGGATCCTATTGACGAGATCCAATAAAAGCCCATGAGAGATTATTGGATAGAGATCCACTAATCTAAGAGGCTTGAGTAGTTGGATGAAGATTCAATACCCAATATGAGAGGATCCATTAGGGTTAAGTTGACAGGGGACCTCTATAAATAGGAGGGATTCAGTGGTTCATAGGCTAGAGCCTTTGCTTGTCTCTCCTATTCTCCTCCCCCTCTCCACCTCAGAGCAGGCCTGGAGTTTTGAGGAGCGTCGTCATAGCCCTACTGTGTGGATCACCGCTAGAGAGGAGGACGCTTGACCTCCTTCACCCTCTCCTAGAGATTTGCAAGGATTCAGGGATATACGATCTCCCTATATAATATAATCTACTCTATACGCGGTTTAAGTTTCACGGATTTTTTGTGCACCAATCTTCGCACAACGACAAATAAATCTTTGAGAAATTGGGGATTTTGTTTTCTATTATTCCGCTACGCATGTGATGTCTCCCCCAAGATTTCCCAACAAATATTATCCATATGAATAGTACTCGAGCCTCACATACATTAAATTATAACTAGTCTAATAGAAATATAAATAATATGTATATATTACCCTCACTTAGTTATATGACTTATGATATTTATGCTTATAAATGATATGCTCATATTTTTTGCTTTTAAAGTTGAAATACATGTTTCAAAAAATAAGTTATTCATAATGTTTTATGAAATTTTGGTTGAGCATGTACAAGTATCAATGTCTATCTTAAATATATTTTATAGTAAGAAGGCATTGTCCCTTCGTATCACAAGATAAAGTATATTAGCAAATTTAAATATGAGGTTAAGTTATAATATTAAATATGTATATAGTGACTAGAAGTGGTGGTTGAATTTTAATTGATTTCAAATGAATCTCCTTGGATGAGTTTGACTTTGATTAAAGTAGAAAAGTTTAAATTTTAAATATCATATATGTGGAGGATAATAAACTATTTAGATATAGATGAAGTAATAAAAAATTAAATAGATGTGTTAATTAATAAGGAGGAGACTCCCGATGGTAGAGAGGTATCTAAATAAGGAGATCAAAGAAATATATTAATTAATAAGCTAACAGAATCGGTAGAATAATCATCTAGACAACTGAAGCATTTATTAGCCCAAAGACAATAGGCAATACCAATAGCAACTTCAGAATATTGATATTTTAGAATCAACAAATGAAAGATTTAGAAAGAATGGTGGAAGAGTGGATAAGAAATTTTGAGAGAATATTTGAGTATACAATGATTCCAAGTAAAGATAAAGTTATTTGTACAACTTATATACTGAAAAAAAAAAATACCTAGCACTAGTGAGATGCTGAACAAATGACTTCGAAAAGATTCAAGGAGATCTTTTACAAAAAATATTTCAGCGCAATCCACCGATGTGTCAAAATAGCATAATTTGTTAATGTCATACAAGAAGATCAATCAGTAATGGTTTATATCAAAAAGTTTGATGAGTTTTCCCGATTTGCACCTCACACTATTAGTACTAATGTCTTGAGAGTTGATCGATTTCTACAAAGACTTATAATAAAATTTTATCGGAATATAGAGATGAAAATGAATGTCCTAGACATTCATTATTCTCTAATAGCGAAAAGACCTTAGAGGCAGAGGAGGCTAAGTAAAGAAATTTTCAAGCCTAATAGATGTATTGTGGCTATGTTATATAAAGAAAGGATATTATTTTTATAATAAGCCCTTACAATAGATTTTTTATAATAAAATTAAATAACACCAAAGTAAGAATAGCAATATAGGCAACCCAAGTATCCTGCGTAAAGAAGAACGAGTCAAACACTCCAATCTTCTCAACTAGCTCAAGTGCAAAGATCTACTTTCTCTAAACGTGGAAAGCATCGTATAAGAGAATGTCTTAAAAGAAAAGGATTATATTTTCAGTATAGAAAGCTAAGACATTTAGTAAGAAACTATACAATAATTTCATTAGAAGATAAAAGAGTATCAGACATAGTCTTTTTTATGATCAAGATAAAAGCAGAGATTGGCCCCTTAATTATCTCAAGTGAGATATATATTTATGATTTTTTTTTCATGCTTTAATTGATTCTAGCACTACACTTTTTTTTTATCACCAAGATGCTTTAATTGATTCTAGCACTACACCTAATGTTGGGTACTGAATGTATTTCCAAAGTATTTTATAAAATAATTTCAATAAAACTTAAAGGGTTAAAAATATAACTGCAAGAGTACCATGATAAATGTTCCATTTGTCCTAGCTTTACACTATGGGGAGCATCAATCCTACTTGTAAAGAAAAATGATATGATAATATAATTATGCATAGATTATAGGAAGTTGAATAAGATAATTATTAAGAATAAATATTGACTCTCTATAATTGATAACTTATTTGATTAATTACATGGTGCATCAATATTTTTCAAAATTATATTAAAAGTAGACTACCATTAACTAAAAATCAAGAATGAGGATATTCCTAAGATGGCCTTCAAGATAAAAAATAGATATCTTGAATTTCTAATGATGTCATCTAGTCTAACAAATACACTAGTAATCTTTATGGACTTAATAAATAATATATTCAATGAGTATCTAGATATTTTTTTGATAATTTTTATTGATGACATTTTAATATACTCGTACTCTAAGAAGGAATATGTAAAACATTTAAGAATAACCTTAAGTGTCTTGGAGGAAAAGCAATTGTATCCTAAGTTTAAGAAATATGAACTTTAGCTACAGAAGATAGTATTCCTTGAGCACAATTTATCCAAGGAAGGGATTGCCATGGATCTAGCCAAGGTAGAAGCAATTGGTAATTAGATCAAATCGATTACTGTAATTAAGATAAGGAATTTTTGATAAGTTATCATAAACATTTTATGAAAGGATTCTTTAAAATAACATCACTTCTAACCAAATTAACAAGAAAATTTAAATAATTTGATGATTATGAAAATAATTTCTAAGAAAAAAAAAAGAGATTGATTTCAGCTTTAATTCTTATTGTACCATTTGGGTCAAGAGGATTCATGGCATATAACGATGCATCCAAAAATGATCTAAGATGTGTTTTGATGTAGAATAATAAAATTATAACTTATATCTTATGACAACTAAAATATTATAAGAAGAATTATCCGACCTATAATTTAGAGTTGACTGCGATGGCATTTGCTCTAAAAATTTAGCGACATTATCTTTATAGGGAGAAATATATAATACACATTAATCACAAGATTTTGAAATATTGCTCTATTTATAAGAAGTTAAATATGAGATAAAGGAGATTGTTAGAGTTAGCAAAAATTATGATTGTGTAATCAATCACCATCCTTGGAAAACAAATGTAGTTATTAATGTACTGAGTAGAAAACCAACAAATTTAGTTGCTTTATTAATAATTCAAAGACCTCTTCGTATAGAAATATAAAAAATTAGAATATAAGATGATCCTTAAAAGTTTAATTAAGTGATTGGTAGTGTTGTCACTATAACCAACCCTCTCCGGGAAAATTAAAAAGTAATAGGTTAAAGACTCTTATTTGAACCAATTGAAGTATGAGAAGAGATAATTAGATTTTGAAATAGATTATATATACCAGAGGAGCTTGGCATAAAATAAAAAAATTTAACAAAGGCATGCTCATATTTATACTCGGTGCACCTTGGAGCAATCAAAATATATAGAGATCTAAAGAGTATTAATGGTGGCTATGAATGAAAAGAGATATCATCTAATTTATTAAAAAAGTATTTTTCATGTCAATGACTCAAAATAGAACATTGGACGCTACCAAATACATTAAATCCATTACAAATATACCATAATGAAAATGAAAAAAGATTAACATAAATTTTGTCATGGGTTTGTCTATGACCAACAAGGAATATGATGAAATTTAGGTCATTATGGATATAATGATTAAGATAGCCCACTTTTTACTTATTTTGTGCTAACTATTCCATGAATCAATATACTCAATTATATATCCAAGAGATAATTAGATTTTATTAAATGTTCATGTCCATTGTATTAGATAGAGACTCTAGATTCATATGAGGATTTTAAAAATTTTTCATTAGGCATTAGAGATAAAGTTAAACTCTCATACTGCTTTTTTTTCTTAAACAGATGACCAATCAAAATGATAATAGCTTATGTCATAGACCTTAAGATATCATAGAGCAAATATTTATCTTTGATAGAGTTTGCATACAATAACAGTTATTAAGCAATGAGATGACATCATTTGAAACATTATATGTCTTAAAGTAGTGATGTGGCTTACAGTAGAAACAATTAAAGCAGTAGAAAAGATTTGCCAAAGAATAAAGGTAACATAAAACAAGTAGAAGTATATGCTAATAACAAGAGATATTTGAAATTTGAGATACGATAAAATATTCTTAAATGTAGCACTAATGAAAAGAGTTATAAGGTTTGGAAAGAAAGACAAGCTAAATCCTTGGCATATGGAATCATATGAAATTTTTGATAAAATTGGTGATGTGGCTTACGGACTAACCTTACCTCCTATTTTAGTAAATGTGCATAATGCTATATATCAATATTGATGAAGTATATTTCAAATCATTCTTATATCATGAAAGAACAACTAATAGAATTGGATGAAAATTTGATATACGAGAAATAGACTATATAAATTCTTGATGGAAAGGAGAAAAAATTTTATAATAAGAAGATTGCTTTAGTCGAAGTATATCATGCAATGGAGGAAGTAACTTAAGGAAGAGATGTAAGAGAAATATCGAGAGCTATCATAATAAGAAAATTTGAGGATAAAATTTTTATTATGAGGGGAGGATTATAGTGCTTGAGTCTCACAATTATTAAATTACAACTACTATCTCAATAGAAGTACAAATAATATGTATATATTACTCTAGTAATATGATTTGTGATATCTATGTTTCATTAATACGATAAATGATATGCTTATGTTTTTTATTTTTAAAATTGAAGTGCATGCTTTCCAAAATATGCTATTCACAATGTTCAATGAAATTTTAGTTAAATATGCAAAAACATCAATACCTACTTTAAGCATATTTTATAGCAAGAAAGCATGGTCCTTCAACGCAATAAGATAAAATGTGTTAATAAACTTGAATATAAGGTTAAGATATGATAATAATTTTGTATATAGTTACTAGAAGTGACGGTTGAATTTTAATCGATGTTAAGTAAATTTCATTGCTTTAATGAGTTTGACCATCATTAAAGTAAAGAAGTTTAAGTTTTAAAAATTATATACACGAAGGATAATAAGCTACTTAAGCATGAATGAAATAACACAAAATTAAATAAAAATATAAATCAAAGATTAGTGTTATACTAAAAGTATTATAAGTGATATTAAGGGATCAGTTAGATCAAAAATATCATTTTTATTAAACCAAATTAGAATCAATTAAAGCTATTGCAACTTTATAATTATATTAATTAAAAAATTTCGAATAAGATCTAGTGGGACTGAATCCTAGATCTCAAGGTAATCATCTTTATCTTATTTTGGTCGCATCCTCTTTACTAACCTGATAGCCCATGATCCTTTCTCTTCTTCAATCATTCTATTAGCCTTTCTCATGAAAGCTAGAAAACCTAAGCTCTAATGAATGTTTGAGTAAGAAAATTTTTAACTTTTTCCTTATTACACCTAGAATTTTGATCTTATATATTATATATTATATATTAATCTTTTCAACTACTTTTAAGTAACCTAGATATCAAATTAATATTTAATTTTTAGATATATATTGTATTGTTCGCTTATAATTCTAAAGTTTCGATCTTAATATGAGATCGGTACATAGAGCTATGAGTGTCCTAATATAAGATGTTTATAATCTTTTATTTTTTTTTAGAAGGAATTCTTTTCAAACTAAATTAACCTTAATAAAGATATAAAGCTGTGCATCAAGATATAGAGCTTAATAAAATAGAATAGAATTTGATAGTAAATTAAGAGAATAGTTTAACCTTTAAATTATTTTATTTTAAGCTAAAAATTAATATATATATATATATATATATATATATATATATAGTTTTATATGTTTCTTAATTTTTTAATAAAATTTTATGATATTTAATATTACATACAAATTTGTTTTTATTGATAGAAGTATAAAAACTAAAAAATATATTTTATTTTAATCATATATATAGGATATGGGTGAAGTAGGATGTTTCCACGTGTCCATTGATTAATCTTCCTATTCATTCCTGCTTTGTGTACACGACGGTAGCCGACTCTTGACATGCACGGTGGAGTCTTCATGCTGCACGATGCTCCTCCGTCGATGCCTCCACCTGTTGTTCGTACACCTCGGCCTTGTACACGTACGCCCTACTGACGTAGACGAAGAAGACGAAGTTGATGAAACCGAGGACTCCCAGCAATGCATAGTAGTAATCCAGATGCGATGAATTGAGGTTGTTCGAGATCCATCCCTCCCTGCCATTCCTCTTGGTAATGTCAGAGACGGCCATGAGCAGAAGGCTGCTGAGAATGTTGCCGACGCCATAGGTGGCAAACGAGTAGGAAGTCCCCAAACTCTTCATGCTCTCAGGCGCTTGGCTGTAGAAGAACTCCACCATCCCCACCACCATGAAACAATCAGCTACTCCCATGAGAACGAACTGAGGAATCAGTCCGAAGATGGTGAGCCGAACGTCGTCTCTGGCCGCCCGTAGTTGTCTGCTCTCGGTGAGAGACGCGACCAACATGGTGATGATGTGGAGGAGGAAGCCCGTTCCGATTCGCTGAAGCAGAGTTATTCCTCTGGGGTTGTTGGTCCAACTCCTCATGATCTTGACGAAGTAGCGGTCGTAGACGACGACGGATACGAGCATGGAGACGGTCACGAACGACACGAGGGTGGCAGGAGGGATTTGGAGATGGTGACGACCTACATTGATTCGGCGGTCCAGGGTGGTGCCCTGCTTCACGAACAGAGTGTTCACCTGGGCGACTACGGTGGATGGAACGAAGCACGCGACCCAAATCGGGATCATCCGCAGCATCTGTTTGGTTTCCTCGACTTCGGTGACAGTGGTCAGCATCCATGGCGTCGACGTTGAGCCAACTCTCACCGCTGCTTTGTTGAGAAGCCTGCATGCGTGACATCCACCGAGAATGAACGCGGATCAGATAGGATAGCAGACACTGCATGCGTGCTTACTAACCTCAAGGAATCCGAAGGAAGGATCCTAAACTGTCCCTTCCTCATGTACTCCTCGGGATCCAGTTCATGGAGCTCTGCTGCACTCTTGGGGAGGGGGAGATTCCATTTTCTGATGGCGGCCACGATGACTCTTGCCATCCTGGTGAGCGGGCTGCCCTGAGGAACCTTATGCCGGTAGAAACGAGTGCCGGACAAGAAGATGGAGACGGAGAGGAGGAGGGCGATGGTGGGGATTCCATATCCCAAGGGCCAGCCCACGTTGTCCTGGATGAACACCAAGACGATGCCTGCGAAGAGGGTTCCGAGGAAGGAGCTGAAGAACCACCAGTTGAAGAAGGAGATCTTGTGAGCCCTCTCCCGGGGGTCGAATTCATCGAACTGGTCGGCGCCGATGGTGGAGATGTTGGGCTTGGTTCCTCCAGATCCAAATGCGACCACGTAGAGTGCATCGAGGAAGACACCCACCTGCAGCACCGAGGCCGGCGAACACTTGGGAGCGTCGCCCTGGTGAGTGCAAGGAGGCGGTCTTAACGATGGCAAGGAGACGGCCAACGTTAGCAGGCACATTCCCTGTCGCAGAGAAAGGGCACAAGGAGATCAGAAGCCGCCGCTTATGGAGTGGCGGATGGAGAGTCGTGCGGTCGTCTCTTCCTAACGGAATAACTGCTACAATAACTGTTCAATTAATCTTTTGCCTCGCCGCGGTTTCAGTTATAGGAATGGGATCGGATGGTTATTATTTTTTATTAATTTTTTTTAAATATAAAAAATTATAAATTTATTTTTAAATAATAAAAATTAATTTATAAGTATGGTTTCAACCAAAAATAGAATTGACAGTTTTAAATTTCCAAACCTAGGAACTAAAATCAAACCGGATTCGATTTTGAACCAATTAATCATCAGGTTAATTTTGATTTTAATTATGGCTCGATTCAGTTTAGGTTTCAGTTTGGTTAGTTAGATTTATTTTTACCTCATTCATGCATAAATTATAAAAATTTGGTCCTGATTTGCTAATTTTAATGAACTTGAATTACTGATTAAAAAATACTTACTTAAGTTAATAATAATATATTTATTGTATCCTTATAAATCAATCTTAATTTTAATATATTTTAGATATATAATTAAATTAGGAAATTCCACAAATATATTGATATATTGAAACTTATAATTAATTTTCTCATGCATTATATATATATATATATATATATATATATATATATATATATATATATATATATATATATA